GATTCTGTAGTTTCAGCTTTCCTCCTTCTTCCCGAGAACGTTTTATCATGGTTACAGTACCATGCATCTCGCTGATGGACTGTTAAAACTTTTTTGTGACTGGGTCTATAGAATTACGGTTGCACGGCAGGACTGGGATGATTTTCCCTGGGCAGTCCGAGATCAGGCCAAAGTACACTGAAGAGGTGATCTTTACTTACGTGACGTTGGAGAAAGAAATTTCAGGTTGAGAAAACAAGAACTCTGTCCTGATGCCAAGAATTTCAGCTTTTCACCTCTTGGCTATAACAACAAATGTCTGTCTGTTTGTAAAATGTTATTGCAGCAGGCTGCTTTGAAGAGTTCATTAGATAACAGCCACCCAAGACACAAAAGCATAAGGCAGCAGTAAGTATTATGTGAAATAGCACTATAACAAGTTTCCAGAAAGACAAATTCCAGACAGGATTTTACTATTACCAGATCACGTGACTTTGTGATTGAGCAATTAGTTAAATCATAATGACAATGACAATAAAGGTAATAAATAGTAATACTAATGTGGCATGAGGTAATTCACATAAAATCTTGCATTCTGTCAAGAATCTTTAAACTCACATTTGGAGAGATTAAAGTGTGAATCAGCAGAAGCAAGGCCTTGGTGAAGAGCAGTGCAGAAGCCAGAGGCATCCTGAGATCCCCAGGGTCACGGCTGACTCCCGTCAGCTGAGAAGTGCCCCAGCAACAGAGGGATTGGGCGTTCAATTCCTTGCTAAGACTTTTTTAAACGTCATTTTCTTAATAGGTGTAAAGCGCTCAGTACAGTTCTTCCGATCTAGTAAAAGAGTGCCTGTTAATTCTGTCACCACAACCACCATCAGCATCTGTAGCTGTGTGAACGCGTAGGAGGACAAACCCCCCACATCTGCTGACTTGTGCTTCTGGATTGATTTTTTTTCAGCACATACCCCATCATTTTGCTAACGCGGTTGTGACTTAAGTGATGTCTTGTGAATGTCACTAGGGAGGCCCCTGGCCTTTCTGTGTTATTGCACACTGTGAAGTTTAATTCGGATTTAATGTATGTGAGACAGATGTTCAGCTAAATCAGACAAGAACTGGAAATTCCAGATGAGGTCTCTTTAAACCTGGGCAAACATAGAGACATGATAAACCAAACATGATCAAAGATACTCATAGAACACCTAATTAATTTCATGAGGAAGTGGCTTGTATTATAGTAAATATATGTTAATGTAACCTGTAAGTGGGCCTGATGCTTTATGAAAAATATAAGACTTCAACCGTTGTAGTTACTGAGGTTGACTTTGTTACACCAGCAGTGGGCACTGAGCTCCTGCCAGCCCCTGGTGGGACCTCGAAGTAGCAGTTCACTAGGGGAATTGTGTCATCTGAGAAGTGAGGATTTTTTCTGCAGCAAGAGAATGTCAATTCTCTAAGATCCTTTCCTTAAAGTGCTTATGTGTACGTGAGACTCATTGTTTGAGGTTAAAGGACAAAGAAAGATAGAGAAGTCAGAGTCGCAGATCATCTCTAGCTCTAAGTCTGTCCATCCCTCTCTGTTCATGTTCCGGGGACAATGGAAATGTAAAGTATAACCTATCTGGCAGGTTGCTGTGTCCTCTTCTAAGCAGTTCATACACCCGAGAGCCTGTTGAGGCGTTAGCACCCTGCTTAGTAGTCTGTGTTTGCTGCATCTCATAGAAGCAGTTGGATCAACTGTGGTAATTCCTGGGCAATTCCCCCCTCTGTCCTGTCAGAAGGATGTCATTGACTAGACCAAGGACAAAAAGACTGTCTAAACCACAACTAATCAAGAAACAGTTTCAGCTCTCTTCGTGACCTGCAAGGCACAGTCCTTCTCAGCTGATTCCAGACCCATTTTCGGGATTCTTTTATGATGAGCAAACTCTACAGAAATCCTTCTTGCACTTTCAGGTCTGAAAGCATGTATCCAGACTATCACTTCAGTTTTCTGTAATCAAGACAAAAATCCTCCTCCTCTGCTGCTGGGAGTGCGGGTGTCTCCTACTGCAGCTATTTGCACAGAAGACAATATTTTCATGCATGGAATCTAAGGAGAAACTGTCCTCTACTTCCCTCCTCACTCACGCCTTCCACGTCAGTCCATCATCCTCCAGTATATGCATTCCATTTCCTCAAGATTATTGCGCGTGTGTGCCTCTACCCCAAGCAAGCCTACATATAAACCCAAAGATTCTGAAAGGAAGAAAAGAGAGAGAGAAATATAATTTAAATTCCTAAATGAAATTCTTTAAAAATTTTTGGCAAATTCATATTTTCTGCCTCAATGCACAGTCATACTAATCAACTAATGGAGATTTGTATGCAAATTTGACTTCCATTATAAAGTGATTTAGGGACAGACTGCAATTTTTAACCATTTTTATATTCTCATGTATATATGTTCTCCAAGACTAGGAAAAAAATAGATATTGTTGATTTGAAGCCCAATGAACAGTGGAAAACATCTTTGTAAGATGCACACAGGGTCTGGGCTATTGTCCTGACCGTTTTGTCCTTGCCTGTTGACAAGTCAGAGTTGTGATGTTATGAATATACTGCTTGTTGGTGCAATTACCAGTGTCAAAGCACATCTTTGCTTCAGGGCTTGAGATGTATTAGCGGATAATGAGATATGGAATCTTGATGTGTTTTCATTGAGTATTGATCAAGTACATGACTGATTCTGAGTCTGTAAAAGATGGGCAGGTTTGATTACCCCACGATGCCTTTCTCAGTAGCACATAAACCGTAGTTTTAATCGAAATTCTGCTTGCAAAAGAACCTTACATTGTTATTTGAAAATCCTGTGTATAAATAGATTTTGTACATTTCCAGGGACAATTGTATGAACTCTATTCATAAAACACAAAGTCATTTAACTCGGTACTCAAGAAAGTTCATTGGAGCAAATTCACATTCTCTTGAAAGGCAAATAATTACAACATGTGCCCATTTTGCCTTTTGGATTTCCTTAAGTGATGTGAAAGTTAAGGTTCTCTTTTATTTTACTTTGTTGAGATTCCCAACTCGGCTCATGGTTGTTGCATGTGCTGTAACCTTCCTTGACTGTACACTGCTGTAGGAGGAAGGTGTGCCCAGTGCAGGCTATGATATGCCCATCTCCTTTCCTGAATGAATTAACAAAATCAGACAGTGTGTCCCGTTTCAGGTGTATCAGTGACTACTGAGAAAAGCCATCGTCCTTCCACTGTGCCCACTCTTTCCATGAAGTTTTGGTCTCTACTAAGGACCAGGACTGAAGCACTTGGCCAAACATCAATGCTCTAACAGTGAGGCCCTCTGTCTCTTCTCCATGGTTAGCCCCATGTCTCACTACCCCAAACAAACTTGTCTACTTTCCAGAACTGTCTGCCCGTTGTCGGGAACCTAGAGAGCAGTTCTTGACTTAGCTGTGCCTGGTGATTCCCCCACTCCTAACAATATAGAACTCCTGGTGTCCTGAATAAAGCAGGGTGCATCACTCCTCAGAGGCACCATCATTCTGGTGATTAGACTTGGAGTACCATCAAAACAGACTCCAAGGTCCTTTTTCCAGCTGCTGAAAACAGGACTGCATGGTGCATACTGTTTCCCTGGGATTGCGTTTGGTGTTAAATGATGAAGAGTTTCAGTTGTGCATTGTTGATACTTTTCGTGATAAAGTTGAGACTGGATGAATACATGATTTTAAATGTTATACTCATGCTGTTTAGAAGTGCCACAAGGGAATGAGGGCAGACAGAGACCATAAATGACAAGGTTCCTGAGAACCAATTCTACTAAAAATAGGCACGTTGTAGTTGTGCAAGACTGGTTATGGTCAAATCTAAGATTTCCTTTGGAAAAAGAATGCCATGTTTAAAGACAAGTAAGGACCCTGTGATTTTTTACTTACCAGAAACGATACCATTATTTTAAAAAAGTAAAGAAAGTATCAGGGATGATCCAGGTCTGCCCCATAAGCCCTGTGCCTTATTACTCTGCACAAATGAAGAACGGGCTATGTATCATACTGCTAAAAGATAAACATGAAGACATTTGTATTCACAGGTTCCTGCTCTTTTGTCACTCTTCTTACACCAGCCATCTCTCAAACACACTCAAGGGAAACTAGCCAATAAGTTCTTACTTCTCCATGAGGGTTTAAATTCCTGAAGTGAATATTAAGTTTGAGTTTTGATTTTTTTTAACCCCTAAAACAGTGAGTTTCCCTAAACTCTTGCAAGAATCCCATTTAAGTAGAACACAAGAAAACAAAGCCAAATTGTACATGTAAAATGTAACTAAATCCAAAGGCCAGGACCTGACCTGATCATCCTTCCTCATTCCCTAGAACACACACCATTCAGCAGGATTACCATCCTATCTTTTTCTTTGTTCTCTGGCCAAGCATTACTGTGATGGCAAAGATAACTAGTCCTCGGGACCAAGGTGAATCTTACATTGTATGAACAGCTATTAATATTTTAAATACTGTCTGCTCTCTGGCACTATGGTATGACATCATTATTTATACAATAGAATCTGTCACTGGCTGGAAGGCTTTGAGTGTTTTAACATGACAGTCATGGAGTGGGATATAATTATATTAACGCAATTAATATGTACAGAAGGGTGGACTTTTTTAAAAAAAACATTATTTCAAATGTTTCTGATATTGTCTGATCCAAAAATAACCACCTGATTAATTTGCCTCATAAGACACATCTCTATGTAGGTCACGATGAGATCATTTGAAAAATCTACTCCTCAGAGAACTTTTAAGCCAAAAAAAAAAAGGAAAAGAAAAGAAAAAAAAATCTCATCTGAGAGTTGAAGCTGAATTGTATGGTCATTTTAGTTCTCAGAATTCAAAGCATAGATGGCTAGAATCATGAGCATGTGATAATTCTAGACTACTCTCAATAAATAATACATGTCATTTCTGCTTCACTGAGACTGTCACTGACTGTTCTAAATGACTTTCATCCCAGGGCCCAGCCTGCTCTCCCAGAGTGCACTTCAGCTCAATTCCAAACCTGAAGGGTCTTTCCAGTATCCGGCCAGCTACCATAGCAACCAGACCCTGGCCCTGGGTGACACAGCCCCTTCTCAGCTCCCAGCACGCAGCACACAAGCCCGAGCTGCCAGCCAGAGCTTCAGCCAGGTAAGGGTCCTCGCTCTTTGCGTGAGTGCAGAGTCAGGGAGGTACAGGAACGTGGGATCCAGATAGGTTTTGTGGAAGTGTCATATAACTTATGAAAGGTCCTTTGCTGTGCATGAGGGAAAGTTACGTCAAAATATTAGTGAGGAGTAACACAAAATGGGAAACATTTTCTTTAAGTATATCTGCAAGTCAAGTAGCTAATCTTGTATCTCTGTTGTATGTATTTAGCTGCATGAATAAGCAAATGGGTATATAGTTACCGTGTTTATACCTATCTGTGTTATTAGTAGATCAGACATTCTGAATTTCTGAGTTCACCTGGTAAAAAGAAAATATAGTTTTTATCCTTCAAACAAAAGTCACGCAATTATTCTTTGAAGCTAATCCTATCAGGGAGCAGTGTAAACTCTTAATCAAGGGTGTAGAACTAGGCTGTGGATAATTGTGTTAAGCTTAGGAATAGTTACACTCTGTCAAGTCAGATTTTGAAGTATAGCTTTATTTTTCTTCTTTAAGGCATGCGAGTATTTTTATAATTTTATTGAATAAATTCATTATCTGTAGTTAAAACCAACTTGTTTAAAGACAACCAGGTCTAACTCATGGGAGTGTTAATGTACAGAGAGTGTACATACACATACACAGATGCACACACAAACACACACACACACACATTCTACTTTGAAAACTTTTATGCCACCTAAATGAATATCGAGTGTGTTTGTGTGTGTCTGCGTGTGTGTATGTATGTAACATTTTTGTTTTTATGACTTGGATATAGTATGTAGTATATATTCAATCAATCCACCAGAATTAATATGTTTAAGGGTTATCTTCTTTAATGAAACTTTGAGTATATTTCCAGCTGTAGAATATATGCTTCTATGAACTTCTATGCTTTTGATTCTGGAATGAAGGTCTGACCACTCCCAACCTTGAAGTGAGGAGGCTGCTTATTTCTTAGGCACTAATTGAATACTGTGTTTGTCAGGAACCCTTCCCAAGTCCCAGGACCCACTGCTGAGTTCTGTCAGCCGCTACCCCATCTTCCTTACTGATTTCCTGAGAGGTGCTTGGAAGCAGGGCTCTTCCCTATGTAGCAGTAAAACCTTGTAGGGCGTGTGTACCTAGATCATGTATGTAGAGAGATTTAGATTAGAATGGCCTAGTGTAGCCACTACAGCAACCAAGAAACATTGAGCATTTTGTTTCTTAAAGTTACATCATTCTGATAACGTATTTAAAAATAACTTCTTGCCAGCTGTAGTTTTGTTAATGTTACCTTCTTGTGTGCTGGGCTGTAACAACGCAGATAAAGGAGAATTGTAAAGCAATTCTCAGACTTAAGTGCTTGGCTCTCGGCTTCCCATGAACACTTCGGTCAGAGAATGTTACTATAGATGACGCAGCTATGTATTAGGAGTTGTGTTTTAAACACACCAATGAGCATGAGTGTTCGGAATATAACGTCAGTAGGAGTTAAATGTTCTGGGGTAGAGAGGGAGGATCAAGGAGTCTGAAGACTCACCAGGCTCTGATGATGGACTAATGTACTTTCCCCAGCAGAGCTAAGAGCTGACCAACTCAACTCTGAAGAACTCATTGGTTGTTGGTGATTGGAAACATGCCGAACTTCAGCTGTGTGTTGTATATGGGGATCTGATTCACTAAGTACCAAATACCACCACAGGACCTGTAACTCCAAAGGAATAACATAGAAATGCTAGAACCAGAAAACTAGCAATTTAACCAAACAATTAGTCTTACTGCCTTGGAAATGGAGCATCCAGGTCCCATTTCAGTGGCTTCTCATTCGGATCCATTGGTTTTACAAAACCCGTGTGAAATATTCTTGCCAATATGCTAAACACTGTTACAGCTCTCCAGGAGAGATTAATTTTGTTACTTGCCCTGTTGCTTTCAAATGCTACTTGGGCTAGTAAGCTCAAATTGTGGGTAGCGGATGATAAGCTGAGTGAGACCGACGACTCACTGAAAAACATTTATTCACTCTCTCTAAAGATTGTAATTCTGAAGTGACATCAGTGGTCTCTCTCTAGCTCACAAGTCACATCCCCGTGTGAATATGAAGTAGTGTGACGAATTTCTAAGATGCTCATTTCAATTCTTAGAAAGTCTCTAGTTTACCCAATACCTGGGGCTTCACTGAGTGACTGCTACCAACTTCCTCAGTAGGCCTTGGAGATGGAAGGGAAACCTCAGTGTTTCCATCTCAGAGTCGTCTCAGCCGTCACAAATATTGCTGTCAGACAGTTCTCTTGTGTTGTTGGCTACTCTTTCCTCAAATGCTAAGGTGGTTCATGAAGTCGAACTGGAGGTCAGAAAATAAGCAGCCTGTCCCTGCAAGTGGCACATCTTTTCCAGGAATCGGTGTAACCTGATCCACATGGAGCTCTCTCTTCTCCACCACAAAGGCTCTACTCATCGTAGCTGAACACTTCTAGCTTTTAAGAAGGCTATGGATGACTGCTCCCTGTCACCCCACTTTTAAGCCATCTTTGGCCTTTCAGTTGGCTCCTATAAGCACTCCCAGTAGAACTGCACTTTTTTCCCATGTGCTTAGTCTATTACCCGATTATTCATTGAGTCATCAAGAGATTTATACTGTGCCTGGTGGTGTATTGAGCCTGTATTCTTGGGATGATGATATATGGAAAATAGACATAGCCCTTGTCCTCAGAGAGCCTTTATTCTAGCAGTGGGCATGAAAATTAGAAGATCAACACTTGAAATAAGCAAAGTGCACAGACTGTATTTGTAGTCTGTATCAGATTGGGATATTTAGTATAATAATGATTATGATATATAGATAATTAGATTTTATATATAATATGTTCATAATACATTCGATTTATAATATATTAAAGATGATGGCCACTAAGGGAAGGATATGGACAGAGAATAGGATGATCTTCAGAGAGGAAAATAAAACGCTATGGAACATTTTAAAGGAGATGTTTGGGTAAGGACACATCGGAGAGGCTCCCGGCTATCCCGGCTATCTGTGGAGTGGTGAGCGTAAGGGTTATCTCCAGCTGCAGTTATCTGGCATATTAGCAAAACAACACATAGGTCAGGGCACTAGAGCAGGGCTCATGGATTTGCAAAGTGACTGGAGCTTTAGTGGATCAGTGGTAGGACTCACCTCTGAGTACAGTGAGGAGCCAGTAAAGAATCCCAAGTAGAGTGTGGCAATGCATAGAAGGACTGTGCTGACAGATACTGTTGCAAAAAAGGCTCCCATTAGTTTGATTCAATGCAGAGCTTCACCTCCAGAAAATCATTTCTACCCCTGAAGTAACCAGCCCAGGATCCACCAAATTCTACCCAGCTCTGCCAGAACCAGAGAGATTCACCATAATGATACTATACCAATATCTGGGTAGGTTGAAGAGCAAGGAGTTAACTAGCCTCCGGGTTTTGCTTGCTTCCATGCATGCAAGACTTCCCATGTATTACTTGAAATCCCGTACACATAACTTATAGTAGAAAAGAACCACTCTAAAAATAATTTTTTCCTCATAGATAGATATATTATCACCCAACAAGCCACTCCTCAATGAAACAAACTATATGAGAAATATGAAATCACATATCTATGGACACAAGCCTGGAAATGGTATTGGAGCTGAGAGGTCTTTGCTTTTTTTAAACCCATTCACATGTTTCTGGGAAGGACTATAGTATGCTATGATAATCTTACAAAAAGGCCACCAGGAAACTGAGAATCATATGATATTCATATGAAATGTACCTCCACAATAGTGGACATCGCAGAAGCTTTTCTACGGAAGAAAATCTTTATTTCCCTTCAATCTAGCCTGTTTAATGCTATCCTGACTTCATGTCTTAAAAGTCCCTGTGTATGCTATTTCATAATTATGAATATCTCAATGTTCGTGTCTCCCAAAGGCAGATGAGTACATCTGACCATTGATACTTGCTGACTACTTTATGAGTGGTAGTAGGGTAGACCATAAACTCCCATACAGTACAGAGGGGAAGAAAGTTCCCAATCATCCATCCTTGTATTGATCTCTGTATGGGGAGGGCCACTCTCACTTGCTTAATTATAAAATAAATTGTCTTGAAGTAAGGCTGGTACTGTAATTGAAATAGTAAAATTGCGGGTAACACCTCACCGACAAATTAACTTTACTGAAAAAAAGTCTGGCAATCCCAAGGATCTGCATACCATACCTCAGTCCTTCCTAGAAACATGTGGATATCTTTTAAAAAAAAAAATCAAAGAGCTCCAACGCCATTCTTCCAGGGTTCAGTCCACAGATATGTAGTAGTGGTACATTTAGAAAACACAGCTTTGCATAGATGTGGATGACATTCAGAATCCACAGAATGCACCCAGCATGGAGCGTGCTCGGGGGAGAGTATGTTGTTTTACGTGTTTTCCTTGGCATATCTGTGGGCTCTGACAGGAAGGTGTTTTTTTTCCCCTCTTGTTTCCAGATAGTTTTAAAATGTTCCCTTCTTGTAAATCTGAATTCCTCACTTTGCTTTCAAGTCTTTCCCCCCTCCCCCATTTTGTCTCTCTAGCATAAACATGTTTAATCTGGCTTTGACAATCAAAATGTTTTGTATTGCAAGGAGTGTATATTTGTGCTCCAAGCTAACATTCCCCTTTCTCTGCAAATATTTAGATTATTAAAGTTGTACTGACAGAGCCTCATGCCGAAGTGAAAGTTTCATGTGATATATTTCCCAGTGTTCACGTAGACTTTAAAAAGATCTACCACCGAGACACCCTTCCTATGTATTATTTACTATAACTGTCTGTAGGATCTTTGTGTCCTTGTATTGCATTTTCTTTTCCACTTTTCTTTCTGTTGGGACTTACAGAAATGGCTCTACATGAAATACTGAATACAGTTCTAATACTTGGCACCCCTGTCTGCATGGCTAGTGGCAGGCGGCTTGCAGAATCTCTCAGTATCCATGACGTGTGTTCCCCTGACTCTCCT